ATATTGTTAAGAGGTTGACGGATCAGTGTTCCCGAGCTTGGGAGGTAGAGTTTGTTTGTATCCCTCGCGAAATCAACTGTGTGGCCCATTCTCTAGCACGGTGGGGTGTCCAACATTTGAACTCGAATGTTTCATGGAGGAGTCCTCCAAATTTTATTTTATTTGCTTTAGGAGTTGACTCTATGTCATCTAGGTTCTAGTATATTTTTGCCTTTTACCTTTCATAATGATACCAAAAAAAAAAAAGTCTCTTAAAGGTCTAAATCGTAATTCTTAATGGCCACATCATCTACGCTTTAAATTTTTGAAACCCTGAACTCTCGAGCTCTCTCTCTCCTTCTCAAAACCTAACCCTCTTCTTGGAAATCCTTCCCACACACTACAATGGACACTCAAGCTGAAGGAGTCGCAGCTGTCATCATTCTTGATGAAATGCGTGAAGCCACCACCTGCACCCATACCTTCTCTATGGAGGAAAAACCAGTCATTTACCTGGAACACCACTTCAACATTAAGCAGATAAAGGAATGGGGAATACCCATTTATGAAAACTTGGCTGACTATGGGATCCTTGACTACTTCAACATTAAGGAGGTCGTATACCTCGGTCTGATAAAACTATTCTATGAATCCTTGAGGGCATCTACAAGAATTGTTGAGGGAACCATGCTTGGAGTAAAGGTCAGAGTCTGTCCCGCTTCTATCGTACAAGCCATTGGGTGTGAAAGAACGAGTCTTCTCTATCACAAGGAATGGATGTCTGATGCCGGTGGACTAACCAACATCACTAAGATCATTCACAAGGAGGGAGAATAGGGACCCATTATTTACAGCAAACTCGACGACAAAGCCAAAATCTTTCAGCAAATTTTAAGCAAATCAATTCTTCATAAAGTGGGAGCCAAGGATAGCATCTCTGACATGCATAAATTCTACCTATTTCAAATGATGACTGGGGGAGGCTTCAATCTACGACAAATTCTTTATCATCATTAGAGAGGGTGCTTGAAGGATTGCAAGGACTTTGTGGTTCATACCATGCTCCTCAACAAAATCCTCTAGGACCACAATGTCTATCACACACTCTTCTCTCTTGAAGACGGTGAGAAGCAGAAGATATTGGCGATGGGACGAGACAAGAGACTACAACCCATTGTCTTTGGAAAGGATAACCCGGGGAGGATGCCTATTAGCTACAAAATTACTGAGCCCTCAGTAACCTTAAAAGTCAAGGAGGAGATCGGAGAAGGACAAGTTGTGACGCGCTCAACAAGAAAGCGCCATCACCCTTCATCTCTAAAAGAAAATGAAACTCTGGTGTTTGCTACACAACCAGCAAAGAGGAGGATAATCCTGCGATCAGACGAAAAATCTAGTCTGATGCTGAAGACAACTAACCCATTTGGAAGGCTTTGAAAAGAACGGCTCCTCCACCACTTGTCGCACCACCTCAGCCTAAAAGAAAAAGGATTATAAGGCTTGCATCAAAGATGGTCGTACCTGAAAGTTTAGCATGCACCCCTCCACCTGTGGCTGAAAAGGTGGTCATTGCTAAACTAGCAACTGAAGTGACCTTCTCTTCAGCTCAAACAAGAACTCAAAAGGACGCTTCTTCCTCCCCCATCATCCCCTAATTATAATCTCATTACAGACCTCTCCTGTAAATACCTTGGCCCTAAGGAAAGGAAGTTTTCTATCAGGATCGATTATAGGATCTTGCCTCCATGGCCCCTCTCCTCTTCATCATTCTCCCTCAAAGAACCAACTAATCCACTACTTCTAGAAGGGATGCCTCCAAATACTAATGAATATTCACTTATTTATCTTGGTGCATCAAACCCTGAAGGAAAAGCGGAGTTGCTTCAATCTACCCGTCTCACCACCAACAGGAACGTCATGAAGAGGAACAGAATTGGTCTGCTCTCAAAGCCACGATCATACATCATTGACAAAATGATCATTGTTATTTGTGCTCGGTATCCCGTCAACTGGGCCGGATGCTATGTTTTGCAAACACCCACTACGCACGCCCTAGGATACTACAGACCAGTGTACTCTTGGCTTGAGGAAGCCTCAATCATACTAGACGCCTCAAGGAACCCTCTGCCCGATTCACAAAGAAACACTCACAAGTATGAACCCATCTTGTCCAACAAGCCAACATATGGACCAGAGTACTATTACATGGAGCAGCCTCCCCCTCCAGCTCCATTCTCTATTCTTGTTCGTCCACCTACTTTTGGACTTAAGCAAGAATCTCACTCATCCTCTCTGTCCTCTTCCCAGCCTGCAGAAGATCTACCTAAACATCCTCCGTCTATGTATTTTCTGTTGAAGCACTTCCCTCCACTTACTGTCACTGGCCCTTACAGTCAAATAGTTAAAGACTCATCTCCGCCATGCCTAAATGCTCTTCCTATGCCAGAATATGAGTATGAGGAAGGAGTGTACGAGTGCACACCATACTGCCCAGATGTACCCTTCTCTCGTTTGAGGCCTATCTAGCTCTTTCGCTCGGTGCCATAACTACTCTTCCTCCACCAACCTTCAAGAGGAAAATCTATCTAGGAGGGGTGATCAAGTCCAAACTCGCATGGATTCCACCACAAGGGACTCCTCAACTCATCCGTCCTCTCCATCAACAATCCTCATCCTCCACCCAACCAAGAATGCCTCCATCCCGTCTACCAAAGCTAGAATTATTTAATTCTCCTGATAAATTTTTTCCTATACATATAGGTCACTATCGCTCCCTCTCTATGCCGGACCTTGCAACAATTGGCCATCTGCGCCTATGTATAGATAGACCCTTACATTTGTACATACCTCCCTCTCTATACACTCTAGCAGAAACACAAATTTATATCTATCCTGACTGTATCTGCCTTCGTCTTCCTCCAATTGATCAAAATAAGATGAAGGAACCTGCACTACATCTGGGACCAATGCAGGTCTCACAAATTAATTTAAAAATAAGTTGTAGATTTGAAATATATATATTCTTAGATTTCGGATTTGATTTTTTTTTTTTACGTGAATACTCCTATGATTTTGTAGTTGGTAAATTAATTTTTGGACACGTGCGTGAATTGAATAATTTCTTATTATATCATTTTTTTTTACATATTTCATGGTTAATTTATTTCTTTTTATTTTTTTAAGCATGATTATTATTGATATTTTATATCTTTTACTTCATTTTATTAAACATTATTGATATTACTCCATTGGTATAAATGCTATTTTCTTATTATACTCTTAATCATTAATAATGTATTTTTAATTAATGTGTTTTTTTAATACTTATTTTATTAATGGAAATTTTCAAAAGATTTGAAAGTGTATTGGGATGTTACATACTGCATTCGTCTCATATTAAGTGTCAAAAACACAGGTCTCAAAGTGTATATGTTAGTCTTCCAATGCGATATTAATACTTATTTTTCATTTATATTATACCTCTTAGAATATTATTTAAAAAGTGATTATTATGTTAAATTGTTTCTAAAAAAGAAAAACATAAGATTAATTTTGTAAAATTACTATTCTCTTTAATTTATTTATTAATTTTCTTGATTTGTATAAAACAACTTAAGATGATAATTATTATAAAGTAGAGGGAGTATTTGTTTTTTTTTTTTTTTGAATTCAGAAATTTTACGCTAAAATGTTAAACGTCAAACAAAATGAAATAAAGGGAGTATATTACATAATTAAGAACTTAGAATTCAGAAATTTTACGCTAAAATGTTAAACGTCAAAAAAAATGAAATAAAGGGAGTATATTACATAATTAAGAACTTAGATATTGTGAGTGTGAATGTATATATGATGACATAAAATATCAAGCTTAATTAAATTTTATACTCTCAAATTTTCACATTTTCGTGAATTTTGCTTCCAAATATTTTGTTTTCCCATATTTTACCTTATGTTTTGAGAATGTTGTGAGTTGTAGCTCATCAATATTTGATTAAAATACAAATGAAATGCTAAGCATCAAAATTGATTGTATTTTGTGCCTCTGAACTTTCACACTATTGCAAATTTTATCTTCACATATTTTTTTATTTTATAAAATTTCCCTCCAAATTTTGAAAAATGTTGAAAATTGCAACCATGTGTGGACCATTTATAACATGATCGTAAGTGACCAATTTAAATTTGTATTAATATTCATATAAGACAACTCATGAATATTAGATAATTCAATACATTAATTTAAAAATCTCATATACTAATACAAATATAACAACTCAATGAGTTGACATAGTTAGACACATTTGTTGACATAATTAGACACACATACACTCACATTTTGAAAACAATCTATTTAATAGAGAATCTGTGTTCGATTCATGTTACACCCATACTTTTTCATAAAATTAATAAGAGTTTTAATTAATTTATTAGGTTTTGTAAAAATGATTTAGAGCCTCGCTCTTTTTTATTTATTTTATTTTATATAATTACATGTTTTTATTAATAAGAAATAAGTTAATTTTATTTTTCATCTTTTCCTCACATTAAAGATTGCAAGTATTAAAACATTAATTTTATTTTTCATCTTTTGCTCATATTAAAGAATGCGAGCATATGTGTTAATGTTTCTTGTTGATTATTGAAAAGAGAAATTTAATAAATAAATATTTTTTCTTGCACATCTTAAAATTTTCAATTATCATTTACCAATTTAATTAATTGATATTAGTGAGATTGCAAAAACTTTGATATGGAATACTAATATCTTTATCTCTCATGACAATCTAATGACAAATAAGAGAGATAAAATTTATATATTATAATTTTATTTTATAAATTAACTAAAATAACTACAAGTAAATTTTATTAACAAAATATTATAGTCCTACGTCACAACTCACAAACAGTTTCGTATGTATCGTGTTACTACGATATTAGCTAATGATAAGATGGAACATTTGCAATTTCAAATCTGAATTGGATTTTTCTTTTGGTATAGAATCTCTATATTGGATTAGTTTTGTAAGAAAACACGCAGATTCAAATGTTAAAATTACTCCCAAGAAGTCAACCAACGAGTATTATTCCACATAGAACTCTAAAGCCTAAGACAATAATAGCAAACAGCCAAACATGCCTTCATGTTTAATACTAGTTGGATAGAAAATCACTAGTAATCATCCAAATTCTTCTTCTCAAACTCCACCTTTTTGTTGTTGGACACACGCTGAAGAAGATCGCATACTTGGCGTGAGGTTGGCCTCTCCTGTGGTGCAGTTTTTGTGCACTGTATGGCTATCTCAAGCACCTGCAAAGCAGCAAACTCTTCACCAGGCAAAAGGGGTTTCAGCTGAGGATCCATCACTTCATCGCATGAAGTGCCATGCATGTCCACATGCACCTCCACCCATCTCACCATATCCATCTCTCCTCTGAAATCTGCATCTGTTGGCATTTTACCACTAACAAGTTCCATAAGCACAATTCCCATGCTGTACACATCACTTTTCTCTGTGGCCCTCAGTGAGTATGCAAACTCTAGAAATTAAGAAATATCAATTGTTAACATTTGGACAAAGAAAAACGGATTTCTCTAACCGGTTTACTTAAAACATTGGTTAAAGAATCTATATGTAAAAAGTTTTCATCAAAAACTACAATAAAGTTATACAGAATGTGCGGATACACTTTCCAACAAAAACTTTCTATTTTTGATTCCCTAACCAATACCCTTAAGGCACTGGCTAGCATTTTCCAAAAGAAAATTGAGATAAAAAACAATTCTAGTGATTAGTATGATTAAACATTACCTGGGGCTATGTAACCGTAAGAGCCAGCAAAACAAGAATTAGACTCAGTATTGGATTCATGATTCTCAATGAGTGATTTGGCCAGTCCAAAGTCTCCCAAGTGTGCCTCCATGTTGGAATCTAGCAATATGTTGCTGGATTTGATGTCCCTGTGAATGATCTTTGGCACACAATCATGATGGAGGTACTCCACTCCATGAGCTAATCCCACAGCAATTTTGAACCTTGTGTCCCAATCAAGTCTCCCCTTTGATTTGAGGGGTTCCCCATGAAGCCAATCCCATACACTTCCATTCTCCATATACTCATATATCAACAGATTCCAACCTGTTCCTTTGTTTCTATTGCTACAACAGCCTACCAGTTTCACCAGATGTCTATGCTTGATCCTCCCCAGAGTCTTGATTTCTCTTATAAAGCTTTTGTTCAACAGATATTCATCTTTCAAGGAAATCTTCTTGACAGCCACAGTCTCTCCAGTGGGCAATTCAACTCTGTAGACTGTCCCAGAACCTCCATAACCAATTATGAACTCATCACTTAAGTTGTTTGTGGCACTCATGATATCTTCCCACCTGAAATCTCGCTTTCCAGGAGCAGTACTTAGAGGGACCAAGGTTCGTCTTTGTGCTCGCGATGAAGAGGAGAAAATAAAACTCACTTCACTGCCTCTCCTGAAAATTTCTTGCTTGTTTTTCAAGAAGATGATCACAAAAAGTACAAGAAGAGCAATAGCAGCTAAAGTTGAAAGTGCAGAGACTATAATCACTGTTGTGTTGCTTAATGGCTTATTGCAGGAAGCTTCACCACGGTTGCAGTTGCAGCTTCCAAGAGAGGCTCCACAAAGATAAAGGTTCCCTTCAAACGCCTCATGTGGCCAGCGGTAGAATTGCTTATCCAATGCACCTTGAAGGTTATTGTAAGAGATGTCAAGCTTCTCCAAGCTCCAAATTTCACCAATTATCGAAGGCACTTCTCCACTGAGTTGATTGTGAGAAAGGTCAAGTACTTCCAATTTTGACAGCATGCCAAGTGAAGATGGGATATGACCAGAGAGATTATTGTAACTGAGGTCCAAAATGCTTTGGAGATTTTGCATATTTCCTATCTCAATTGGTATCTCACCACTAAAGTGATTCCTTGATAGCTGCAGCTTATAAAGATTGCTCAATTTACCAATTGTATGAGGGATTGGTCCAGACAAGAAATTATGGTCAAGTCTGAGTACATTAAGGGATGCAAGGCCTCCAATATCATCAGGGAGACTTCCACTAAGAGAATTGTTATCCAAGGAAAGATCAATCAACTTTTGTTGTTTGAATAGGCCTGGTGGAATAGACCCATGAAATTGATTGAATGAGAGCCTAAGCTCTCCCAACTCTGGCAAACTTCCAATCCATGATGGTATGCTTCCAGATAGAAGGTTGTTGTTTAAATCAATGTGAGTCAGATTATTACACAAGGAAAGCTCATCGGGTATTGGTCCAGTGAGTGAATTTCCTGAGACGTCTAACAATGACAACATAGTGAGTTTTCCCAATGTCCTTGGAATTTCGCCAGAAAATTTGTTGTTACCTAATCTCAGCCTCTCAAGGAAAGGCGAGTTTCCCAGGAGAAAGGGTATTTCACCATCAAATTGGTTATCTGTGACATCAAAAGAAAGAAAAGACATCGAGCGACACAATGCAACCAAACTACCATTGAGTCTGTTGTTTGAAAGATTCACTCTGGTCAAGTTTGCTACATTTACAAGTTGGTGAGGAAGACTACCTTCAAGATGATTGTTGTAGAGCATGAACTGCGTCAACTCTCTGAGGAATCCAAATGTTGCAGGAATGCCACCTGA